CTTTGAAAGCAAAGCAAATTCTCACGTTCGATATCACAACTCGCACCTAGACTGTCATCGGGCGTATCATACACATATTGGTAAAACGCTTTAATATGTTAAAAGATAGATCACAAAGCCACTGCCAATAAAATTTTTGAACGTTCTAAGTGCAGTTGTGCCCTGCTACTAAGGTCCAAGACACAGTTTTAAACAAATAAAATAGAATATAAGCTACGTCATTTACCCCAAGGTATATCGGTGTATCCTCCAAACACGTACTGTCCCTTTTTGATGATGGTAACCGTGTCGCGTTTCCCATCACACCTGCTGTGAAAGGTACTGACAGCCCAGCCGTGAGTGGAGGCGCGGTAACACAGCACCCAACGAGGATTGTTTCCAACAGCAGGTGTGAGGAATTCATGAAGGCGGCTTTGATAAAATGCATTATCCATTATTGTAGTCGATTTCATCCAGAAAACTGAAAATTACAGAAAAGACAGGATTTAACTAAATTATATAGAGTGAACAACTGACTCGATAGCTTCTGTTCGTATAACGTCTGAATTAGTCCCAGGGCTACAACAAACTCACTGCAACGGATCACAAGACCATTTACCATTGAGGGTCCCCAATAGGTTTTGGGAGTATTCAAATGGCTCTTATGAATCAACAATTCGCAGTGTCTAAAACTACAATATCCTACCGCTCAACGATTTGCCCAATATTTCCATCTTGGTATTGTTCTTGGAGCATTTTGTAAATGTTTTTGTCCTACCCTATTCCCCTCCTGTTTATCTCCAAAAGTGTCCGGTCAATAGTAATTAAAATTACATGGTGTGTGAGGCGTCCAAACCTGTCTAGTTCAGTTATAGGCATGACTCGATCATGGCGTCAGGAAATAGCAAAAGGAGATTACAAATTTCTAAATAATATTCAACATTCAACACCTTGGTTCGGCCACCTTGAATTTTATCGATTTATTTCTTATTATTATTAGCGACTGTGCAATAATCATCTGGAGAAGAAGGGGGGCTTAAAAAATGCGTGAAATATGCACCAAAATTAAGTCATACCCCCCTCTCATTAGGCAAAAGTTAATTTCAACCCCCCTCTCATATAATGATGATATTAAGGCTAACCCTCTCCCCCTTGAAAGAAGTCTCCATCCATATATAACAGAGGTATTCCTTTCCTACTGGATGACAGATAGGAAAACAGAAGTTCTGAGATCGGAACACCTTAGAGTTGATACATTTCTCAGTTGTATCCTAATATTATTATTTATATTTGAACTCTAACAGCTCTGCCACTTCTTTTCCAATTTGCAAAAAGGAATGAAAAAGTAATGCCTCTTCCACTGTATGTGTTAAATTTTACATCCAGCCCTCCCCCCCCCTTTCTCTTGTTGTCATTTTCTCCTATGCCCCCCTCTAATTTTCCAAATCCCCCCCTCCAGGTAATTATCACACAGTCTCTTATTTAATATATCTAACCGAATTCGCAAAAACATGTCCCTATTGACGCAAAGACAGTCGCACCGGCCAGAAGTCCTCTGACCAGCCGCCTGGCTAGGCGATTGGCCCCTCACGCATGCACGAGGAAAGGGCCACTCCAGCAGGGTGCCATGTTAACACAGAAGCCTCAAACAAGGTCAAGCAATTGAGTAAAATACCCAGAAACACAGTCAATATCAAGCTTATTTAACACTGAAAACTCAAAGTCTAGTTGGCTGAGGGTGTCAGTGCAAGACACCCTCGCCTTGTCCCTGCTTTTGACAGCTAGCCGCCAGCAAACCAGCGCGCTAGCAGATAGGCCGGTGCCTGGTCCATGTGCTTGGCCTGGCCTTAACGGAGCCCCCGCTGGGTTTAGGGTCATTAGCTTAGCCTGGATTTGGGCGCAGCCTGAATCCAGGCGAAAACCTAGCGGGCATGTTTTTGTGAAATCGCTCAGAATAAGTCAGGGAAAACTTAAAAATATGGGAAAAGAAAGTGTCTGGTAAAAACTGAGTCCGCGTTGGTTTGTTTTATACGTTTCCGTTATTAATATTTTAAATTGGTAGAAAACTGACACTTTTTCCAACCTGCTGTAAACTACATATAATGCAAGGTTGTCATTGCGCTACTGATTAGACCCAAGCGTGTTAGTAGCGTCCTAGTGTTTAGGACCAACCTCTTGAGGACTAAAGATGACGATATTCCTAGACAAAAACGGTTTTTAGTTCAATCGTCATCGACACTCACCTGGTTGGACATAATCTAACGTGGTCAATGCTCTAACATATCCCAACTTGTTGGTGGCTTTGCACTGATAAGGACCAGCATCTCGACGACTAAAGTTGGAGATCTTCAGTGTACCATTGGTAACAGTGCTTCGACCTTGTGGCAACGGCACAAGTCCTCTTGACCAAACAACCGTCGGTTGTGGAAAACCAAATACTTGGCAGGTAAGAGAAGCTTCTGAATTTGCTGTTACTTCTATAATGCTTTTGGGATTCTCGATGAATTTTGGAGGAACTGTACAAACAAACAAACAAACAAACAAACAAACAAACAACAAACAAACAAACCGATAAAAGCATACTGTAGTTTGCCAAAGCCAATTCTAAGGGTGTTATCGCATTATTTGAGTCACATCCAATTTAAGCGGTTTCGGCAAGATACCTGTGTGTATTTGACATGCAGGTAGGGTTAATAAGAAAATGTGAGAGTTATTTCTTCGTTTATTTATTTATTTATTTATTTTTCTATCTCACCCTCTTTTCCCACAGGATTAACTAAAAAATATGCGAAATTCACAGAACTTTTTCGTTTTGCGTGTTGACCGTCTTGAATCTTTCCGGAAAAGACAATTTATTCCCCCGTTGTCTTCCTCAAATAATGTAGAAATATTGAAATAAAATTGAATGGAAAGGAAAATAGTGATAACGATTGCATTTTAGAGAAGTGTTTGAATAAATTCTACCTGATGGTTCGTTCGCTTAGCTTCATTCGATTCAATTCCCGGCGTTATCAATCGAATCGAGACAATCGGACTCAGTCGATTAATTCTGCATCGAGCACTACACATTAAAATCATGTTGTTAGGAGGCTGTCTCTATAAAAACCGACCACTGATTTTACTTCGAAAATTCGATTTTTCTCATAAGCTGGGATTTCGAAGCCCTTACCTAGTTATTTGATTAAAAATTCTAATTGAAGTTTTCTAGGATTAATTGAAGTTCGGTCCGCTCGACACAAGTTGCATGCCTGCCGAAACTGGAAAAATAGCACATATTGCCGGCGCTCTAAAAAAAAAAAATATATATATTCGCTCAAAAATCCAAAATTCTTTTTTTCAACTATAGATATATCATAGCAGTTTGTTTAGCCATAATGCAATTATAATTCAGTAGTTTGGTTCAAAACTCGAATTTAACGGGTAGAAAATCTTCTCTTAACCGTTGAAGAAACAACATTGTGTCGAACTAGACGCTTGACGGCGATCGTATTCGATTGCCGAACCCAGCCGAAAACACTCGAACGAGGTTTGATTGGTGAATGTTCGACTGATTACGCGGAGTTAAGGAAGATACATTGTTATCAATATAGAATTCATATAGCACGGCATGCCGTACTTTAAGAAAAATAATACTAAGATATCTGAAACCCTTTTTTTTTTTTTTTGAAAACAGGAGAGCCAATGTCAACCACGATAACAATTTGGGCAATTTGGGCAATTTGGGCATCCAGCGTAGATTAATAGGAACGGACGCGAAGGGAAAGACCTGAAAATATGACATTGTATCAATATGCTGAAGACTTACAAGAACTTTAAGCCCCCCCCTCCTTGCGTGCATGCACTTGGAAATCATTATATATTAGGCCGCACTATCGAAATTGGTGTGGTTAAAAACGATAAAAATGTACGGAGACGCGACTCCATGTTCAATTTGCATAGATGTTTTAGTTGATGACGAAAGTGCTCCCCCTGCATACTGCATTTTGCTTTGCATACATCCCGAGCATATCTTATGCTTACCTTCCACGAAAAGTTTTACCACCTTCCTTGCTTCTCCCAAGATATTTGTAGCAGTGCAAACATAACTTCCCGAGTCACTGTAAACAGCACTCTTGATCTCTAGCTTACTGCCTTGACCGTCCGTATTCACCAGTCCTGTAGTTGTTCTACTCCAGGATACGCTAGGCTTTGGATTACCATCAGCTGAGCAGTAAAATGTGGCGATCTGGTTCTGAGTTACAGTAAGTGAGGCAGGCGATACAATTACCACTGGAACAGATATTGACTCCCCTACATCACCTTTAGGTCCCGGATGCCCCGGCGCTCCGACTTCACCTTAAAATAAAAAATGCAAAATTTGCTGTTTGATGTGTCAAAGGCATTGCTTTACTACAATCATTTAAGATCACCAACGTATTTAGTAATTGAGACATTTATTATATGAGTAATTAGTAAAATTTCAGAGCTGGGAAAACAAAAAAAGGTTCCAGCAATATGATTGGTTGAGTGTTTCCTTATATGACTGCTCCAGTGCGGTGAATATAACACTTTCGAGGCCTGGTTACTACGCTCGAGACGTTTCCCATCTTGGCAAGTACACATGGCGGACAGTTGCTGAATAGAATGTTTATTTATTCGAAAGACATCACTCCAAGTCCAGAATATTTGGATGGATGGAGGATTTTCAAAGTGACTGCTGTCGCCCTTGGACCAAAAATCCTTTCAAGAACTCATTTTGAAGACATTTTAGAATTGCAAACGAAGTGGTTACATTGATCGCTAGCAGGTCAGATCGATTGACCGAGTTATATTTTTCTGTAAACTAAGGATACCCATTTTTACGCGATGATGACAACTGCGAATAAAGTCAACAACAATAAAACAAAGGTACCGGACGAATTTATTTTTCGTGGTGTTTCGCTTGTTTGTTTTACTGCCGATTTCGATGACTAAATTGATTGACAATCGATGTACATGTAAGTCTATTATTAAAACTACGGCTGCATACGTGTATGGACACGAACAATTGCGTCTGTGTTTTTTATGTTTTAGTCCGTTATTTTGTATAGTCCTCTCTTTTCAGCTCTGAAAATTATACTAAACGAATTATTCGCCTTAGGCTCAGTGAACATCGGTGAATATTCACCGAGACGAAGTCGTGGTGAATATTCATTAATGTTCACCGAGCCTGAGGCGAATAATTGTTTTAGTATAATTTTCAGAGGTGAATATGAAGGACTACAAAATAACGGACTAAAACACAAAGACACAGACGCAATTGTTCGTTTTCATACACGTATGCAACCGTAGTTTTAATAATAAGCTTACATGGATATCTATTGTGAATCAATTTTTTCATCGAGTTCGGCAGTATAACAAACGAAGGAAACAGTACGAAAGATAAATTGATCCGGTACCTTTGATTTATCGTTGTTGACTTCATTCACAGTTGTCGTCATCGCCTAAAAATTAGTAGCTTTAGTTTGAAGAAAAAGAGATTTCGGTCAATAGATCTGACTTGCTGGCGATCGACGCAACCACTGCGCTTACGACTCGTAAAAGCCTTGAATACGTGTTCTTGGAAAGATTTTTAGTCCAAGGACGACAGCAGTCATTTTGAAAATTCTCCATTCTTTCAAATATCCTGGACTTGGAGTGATGTCTTTCGAATAAATTAAAACTCCATTCAGAAACTGTCCGCCATGTTTACTTACCGAGATGGCAAAGATGGCGAGCTTAGTAACCAAGCTTCAGGGGGTAAATATAGCGTCATGTGATGAGCTTTTTGACCAATCAGAATGTCCAATTGTTATATTCACCTCTGGAAATTATAATAATTACAATGTTCACTAAGCCTGAGGCGAATAATTGTTAAATATCATCTACTTATTTGCATTGAAAATTTTCCTCCAACTAACTATAAAATAATTATAAAGATTATAGCTGTGTTTTCTTTGAGGGAAACACTTTCCACTTGTTTTACTTTGTAAGGAGTGANAAAAAAAAAAAAATACAGGCATGATTATTACACCATGAAGCTCGAAAAGCATTGCAACGATTTGATGAATAGTTCCATCACGAAGTAAAATTTACAAACCCATCTGCTTATTTACGATTTAAAAAGAAGTACTAACCCCATTCTCCACGAGTATTTCCCGAGAAGATTTGGAAATCACACAATTAGGTTATTCTACCTTTTTCTCCTTTGATTCCAGGCGTTCCAAGATCTCCCTTGATTCCTTGTTTACCCGGTTCACCTGGCGCTCCCGTAATACCTTTCGTTCCTTTTTTACCTTTAAATCCTTTGGGTCCTCGTTTACCACGACTCCCTTGACTTCCTTTTGGTCCGGGTGGACCTGTTATACACACTTTATTTGGCACGAGGCAGTAAGACTCCACAGACTCAGCAACAATCGACCTGAGGTACCTCTTGAGAACATCGCTGGCTTCGTCAAGATCAGAATCGCTGTGGTTCGTTTTTACGCTGCGACGGACAATTTTGTTTGTGTATGTTATGCCTATGAAAATTGACGAAGTGATCAACTTTTTATACAATCTCTAGATCTGCATGACTGATAAAATTCCATTTTCTTCTGTTTTAGAAATTTTCGACTGATCGAATCCTAGATTCTCTTTGCAAAAATAATACATAGTCAGCAGACAAGTGAGGAAAACAAAGACAATCATCAATTTGAGAAAAACGTGACTAATTAGGGAAAGGAGGTATCCCATTTCCCGGTGTTGCCTTTTGCCACTGACTCGAACCGAATCCTCGTGCAATAGGCCAATTACGATATATTAAAATTCTAACTTGGCTCCGAGGCTTAGAGGAATAAAACAAAAGAAATCGCATCGAGGATGAGGGTTGAATAATTAATTTCTTTTGTTTTATTTCCCTAAGCCTCGGAGCCAAGTTAGAATTTCAATATATCGAAATTGGCCTATTAAAATCTTTTAGATGAAAATGAGTCTGTTTTGCACGAAAATGAACGAGTAGGTGAAACACATTTTCATATGAATGGTTTTCACATGAAGATTCGTTGTGATACAGAGACAAAACAAACAACTCGGAAATGGTCTATTGAAGATACTAGCCGCTGGATTATAAAACAAATACTCGCCGGCCCACGGGTCACTAGTTGTTGGCATGTCTTCGGCATTTCAAGAAAGGACTAGTGTGTATCTGATTAAAATTCCACTTATTTGCCTCAATTCTTTTGCCTTGGATGATAAAAGACGATCTTGATTCAATAAACGATGTTCACAATGACGATGATCAGAAAGATCTAATTACGAGCGGCCGTCTTGTGATATAATGTTCCTGACTCATCTAATAGATGAAACTCTAACGTTATCAACTTACTCTTTGGGTCGCTTGTGTCGAATCGAAGAAGAAGAAATAACGGATGATTCTCGACTCCAAAGTTATTGCCTATAGTTGTTCAATGAATTCCATGATCGTCTTCCTTACATCCAGTCACTTATTTAGATTGACTTGCTCCCAAAAATATGTCATGATAATTTGTGAAGGAAAACGAAAGGAGTTTGTTAAAGCGTTCAGTCATCCCCAGCTACAGGCAATACTACAACAATGATTCCATAAAACTTGCGGAAATGTCAAGGCCGGCAACAACCATGAAATCCTTATTCCTACAACACTTACCACCGAGCGCATCAAAGTTCTCTTTCACAAGAGCTTGACGAGTATCTTGTTCTTCTTTCAGAGCATCTTTGATTTGTTGAATTTCGAGCGTGAATTTTGAATCCATCATTTTCGTGTCATGGGCCACTGTCTCGATTCTCACGAACAGCGTGATCGTCAACAGAATCGCAGCAACGGACAAAACGGAGGACGCCTTGTGAAGACTGTCGTTATGTTTCTCTTTGGACATTAGTTTGCCCTGTTTAGCGCAGCGGTCCATTGCTCTTTGGGGAACTCGAAACAATCAAATATCGATGAACGCGCACGAAAACTGTATGTGACCTTCGATTTCAGCAGGTCCAGACTGGCATAAGAAATCGTAAACATCCGCAGTATCGCATTACGGAAAAAATACCAGAGACAGAGGTATTACGCCAAAAATAGCCATGCACTTATTGAACTATTCCGAATACGTCTTTTCGTTTTTGAATTTACTTCATTTATTTATTTATTTATTTATTTATTTATTTATTTATTTATTTTTTGGGGGGGGAGGCGTGGTCGGCCAACAATTAGCTAGTCTCCTTCGTAGCTGCTCGCGCTCGGGCAAAGTCACGCATCGCTCCCCTTCCCGTGGGGACAGAAAGCTTTGCGTGACTTCGTCCCGAGCAGAGGTTTCCTCGACGATCCTTTAACCGTAATACTATCCTCGTCATTGGTCACAAAGGGGTTTTGATAACAACGTACAAGCGCATTTGTCTTGAGAAATTTAGCCTGAAAGCCTGGGCTGGAAGTGAATGGGCATTGAATAGAAGATGTTGAAATCCTATGTGCAAAGAAGTTACGGGAAACAGGAGTGTTAAATTCATGTGTCTTCCCAAGATTACATAAGTGCTTTAAAAATTCGCTTATAGGAAAGAAAACAGAGTTTTAGAAGCTTTGCAAAATATGTTTTAGGAGTTTTGAAAAACAAGTCCATTTAAAATCCCCAGGCATTATTGTTAGTCTCATCGGAAGCTATCACGCGCGCATGTGGTCACTCTGCAACAACTGTCACGCATTCTCGTCGAACATTGCTCAGTATTTTTGCAAGGATGTTTTTTTTTATTCTTGCTTGGCAAGTAAAAATATCGGAAAACGTTTGAAATGTGTTTTATATATTTAATTTTAAGGTTACCTCCATGAATAACGTACCTTTATCCTTTGTCTTCGGCCAGGCCGAAATGCGCAGTGGGATTAGAGAGATCAAAGGACCCCAGTATTGAGAAGAGAAAAGACAGTCTAGTCTGATCTGGCGTCTCAGATACAATAGAGGCGGTGTCAGTTTGCAGGGTCTCGAATGTCTCTGATCACCCGTCAGCCAAAAGCTTGACTGCCAACCGCGCCTCAAGCTACTGGCGGCCGCTTCCACCAAATTCGTCTTGTAGCTGCTTGTGTTAGGTCTCTTTGATTGGTGTGTGGTGCTAGGAAGCATTCTGCGCCAGCAAAGACCGCCTCAGAGCGATTTTCTGCCAAGATGTTTACCTCCGCCGCGGTTAGGACGCTTCTAATTGCAGTCTCATTATTTATTCTCGTAGAAGGACAAGGTAAGTGATAACGTGGCATGCTGGAATGCGTTCCTCTACTTACCTGAAGCGCATTATATCTTAGTTTTTATGTGTTTTGGTACACGATTTATGTTTTGCCTTGGATCTGATTAAGCATTGGTGGTATGTGGCAGCTTAGAATCGTATATTTATGTTGCAATTTTGCTCTGGGTTACAATTATTGCATGCTATCGGTACGCGTTTCTCCCTCACACAAGGGCTTTTTCATGATCGCTGAGCGGAGATCACGTATACTTCATGGCCTGGTCTGGGGTAATTTTCGTGTTTTCTCCCCAGCTGTCTTCAAAATTATGTCCGATTCGTGCTACGAAAAATAAAATTAAGCAGAAGCGTTTTATGTTTTTGAGGCAGCAGATCCTCGCATTTACAACAAAGACTCGATTTTAGTGCATGTTCCGGGCGTATTGACGTAACATGCAGTGCGGTGGTGTAGATTCTTTGGGTTTAACAAGATATTTCTTTTAAAACTCATCGGTCATAGTGGAAAAACATCACCAAAAATCACCGTTAGGCTTGCTTGCCAGGTAGTTGTGTAGATCGATTGCCTTTCCTAGCAAATAATGAGGGCTTTTTTTTGTTGTCTTCTACGTCTGCGGTTGCTCTGCAGGGAATTTTAGCTCGGATGTTCTCCAATCAAATCACACTATGGAGAAGCATTTTGTAAAAGTGAAAATAAAGCACTTCTTTGCTCGTGTTATGTATGCGAGTGTTATTTCGGGTGAAAAGCTGTGGCAATTCTCCCATTAGCGCTTGCATTACCCGATGCCGACAAAGAGCTTTTGTTTGCGGACAGTACAGATGATTGCGATCTGTATTTTGTTGATAAGTTCACGAATCTTTGCAGGAATAGCGGCCTGTAAGCTGTTTTCAAAGATTAGTTCTAAAAATTTAAAAAATTATTATGTTCTCCCAGTGATCATATACGTATTTTGAAGATATTTCATAAAGAAACAAAAATGCGCAAAATGATTACAAAAACATAATTGTGTCCAAAATCTTGTTCAAATCTAGGCGTAAGAAGTAGCCTTAAGCCAGTGCACCTTGTTTTTGATATTCAGCAATGTGTCTTTGAGAATTTTGCATGAAAAGTACAAAAGATATTTGTGTGATTTCTTTCGTGATCATGAAGGATAATTTGAGGTCTGGGCGAAATTCAATATCTCTGCAACTTCGCGTGGAATTTGACACAAAGGGGTATAGGGTGATCACTATCCAATTGCGTCACGCAAAGATTTTAGACTTTTAGAGGAAATTAAACATGTTTGTGAAAAGCTTGAAAATTACTCGATGGAAAATACCCGCTTTTATTCGTGCAGCAACAACAACTCAACCTGATTTCTTGGAAAATGAAGCGATTGTGCTTGAAAAACATGCGAAGTTCGAAGTCACGACAGACACTTTCAATGGCACTTCTGCAAGCATTTGACCTCATATTTCGTTACCTAATAAACAAAGGCGATTGAGAGATATTGATATGAAGCAAACCTTTATGTTTAGTTGTGATGAAGGCATTCAACAATAATTTGGTTTTTATGTTCTATGCATGTGGGATGTTAACACAGACAATAAAAAGGGAAAAACCGGAGAATTCTCCATGTACTACTTGGGTTTTGTCATGATTTGAAAACGAATTTTAATAAACGGGTGTACAAGCAATATTATGAGAAACTGATTATGATCCCCCCGTAATTTTCTGAAAGTAGAGCGTGGGATAGCGCGCCGTGGGAAGTCTGGGAACAAGGCTAGTAGAAGGCGCGCAATTTTTCCTTTCGCTCTGTGAAAATTCTTCAATTCCTCTGAGAAGACACAGATGTTTCTCGAGATTTGACAGGCTTGGAGAGGTCATGAAGATTTTCCAAAGCGCAGGAAACAGCTAATAACTCAGGTAAGCATACTGTTCTAACAAACGATAGTTAGACCCGCTTAAAAGTTTGAATTGAGTCTCATTCAGTCGCCATTGCTTTAGGTCATCTTCATGCCTTCACACTCCTTCCTACTTTAAATCTTTTACTGCACTGCAAGCTCACCTGTAATACGATTGTAACGCTTGTTGCATTCTCTTCCACGGTTATGCGTAATTGTGAATTGTGATCCATTGTGGTAACTTGTTCCAAATAAACAGCTGTTTCGATCAGCTGAATCAACC